CTCTTCTCCCAAGGAACAGGCGATAGGACAAAAGGGAACAGCCTCAACTTGCCCCAGGGGAGGTTTAGGATGAATATTGGGAAAAACTCCTTCACCCAAAGGGTTGTCAGACACTGGAAGAGGCTGCCCAGGGCAGTGGGGGAGTCGCCATCCCTGGAGGGATTTAAAAGCCAGGCAGACGTGGTGCTGAGGGCCACGGGTCAGTGGGGTTTGGGCAGGGTTGGGTCAGTGGTTGGATTCCATGATCTGAAAGGTCCCTCCCAACCTCAGTGATTGGGGTCACTTGGCCTCTGGCACATGGGGGTGAGCGGCCACTGCAGCCCCACGGGCCCACAACCGCCTTTGGGGACCACCTGTCAAAAGGGTCTGCCCCAAAGACCCTCTAGGCTTGGTGCTGCTTTGCTGTTATTGCGAGCCCAGACTGGATGAGCACTGATTTACCTCAGGAATGGATGCTCACGCCTATAGACTTATAAAACAGAACAAAAGAAAGCACCAGTAAAAGCAGCAGCGGGAATAAGGCCCGCAGGCTTTCAGCTGAGGGGACCCGGGCTCCAGGCGAAGAGAGGAGAAGGACAAAGCCAAGCAGAAGACCCCTGGGAACGGCTCGCATTGGAGGGCGGCGAGAGAAGCACGAAGCACAAGGGGTTCAAACGGGAGCGGACAAAGCACGGCGCTGGGAAAACCTGAGGGGAAACCAGCCGGGAGCGGCGGGGAGAGGCTGCAGGAGGAGCGGGGGCTCCGCTGCCCCGGGGGGACACAGCCCGCTACGGCCGAGGGGAGAGAGCCTGGGGGCACCGAGAAAAGGCGGAGAAGGGAGAGCTGCTCGGGGCGCGCCGGGGCCCGCGGACCCCCCGGAGAAGAGGGGGGAGCCGGCCCGACCCGGGGGTCTGTGAGGGAGGGGAACCAACATGGCGGCGGGGAAGGCCAGAAGGAGAGAGGGACCCCTCCCCTCGCTCTCCCAGCCCCGGGAGCGCCCCCCCCCCCCCGCCCCCGCGGGCCACCCCGGCGGGCGG